TTACATTTAGTTATATATAGAACAAAAACTCTGTCCACATCATATTTCACAGCAAGCGGGCCTGTCCGGGAGTCGAACCCGGGACCTCCCACTTTGTTGTATTCTTTAAATCAGATGTCACCCAGGGCCAAACATAACCCGAGTTTCTTAAAGTGACTGGCCAAGACACACAGGAAGATGCTGTAGGTCGAGAGGAATGTAAGGATGAACAAGCGGACTCCTTTTTTTCCCATTGGGCATTGGACATTGGGCTTTAATGTCAATGTTAAGCCGCAGAAAGAATTAAATTCTTTGGATGTATTATCATAACGGGGATGCAAATTATATGGTTTCCGGTTTCTCTAGCATATTTTCCTAAAATTTTATTTGACCAAGATTGAGTATCTGTAATTATATGCCACAACAAATTCCCAAGTTCATGTACATATCTTCAAGTTCAAACGTGTTCATACTGAGCTTTCAAAACATTTTGGTTGATTAGAGCTACGACGTTAGTCACATGACAAACCCAGTTCATAAGGTTGGTTCACTTATCAGTTGGAATGAAGATGAATTTTAAGCCTATGGCCTTTCCCTGTATCTTCTTTTAAGTTTGATTTAAGCGTATGGTTCAAAGCTTCGAAAATTCGGATATCATCGACTTTGACAGGCTGTGAACGTACTTAATTGGTTTTCGTCCACTTTTCTTCTCATCAGTGTTAATTAAACACTAAGTCAGAGGAATAATGAAACATCATCAACGACCTTTTTGTAGCAACTATTTACAGAATTGTGGTATTCAAGGGTTAACATGTGAGGAAATTAACAGTTGGATAGATGAGGGGGGGAAAATGGGTTCTTTGGTCCGTGTGAGGAGTCACAAGTGGTGACTAAGCGTAATATCCCATTGTAAAATAAATAAAATCTTTAAATAGAGTATCCGGGCATCGATCCTTATACCTTCCGTAAGATAAGCGGGCGCTCAACGATTTGAGCTGATTCCCCAACACGTTTATCACGTGGTTTACCACCGCACCTGTAGGTATTTTATTAACATTTCTAGTTTAACTCACTGTGGACATCATTCAAGGCCGGCCACGGGCCATCAGACGTGCAAGGCTATTTTACTACACGAAGGATGGTCTATCCAACGAAAACAAATACGTTGACCCTCTCTTTTTTTTTAAGAAAAACTACAACAACCACTACACTCGACATAACAGACAAATACCTGATAGGTCCGTTGTTGGTGCGCGTGTTGGTCGTACTCACAACCTTGTTATCCGCACCACGCTTTGCCGTCTGGGCTCATGGACAAGTCATACGATACCAAAACTATGTGAGGAATTATTTTTATCATATTGCGTCTCTTAGATTTACTCAGTAGAACTGATCGATCACGATAAACTGTTTTGACAGATTATTAATTCTAAATAGGGGGCCGGATAACCTCTATTCCGGAAAGGTAGGAGGCCGTGCATGCTGCAAATTGCTTTCTCTATCATCGGAATGTGCTATGTTTGGGGAATTAGCTCAAGTGGTAGAGCGCCCGTTTTGCATGCGAAAGGTACCGGGATCGATACCCTTTTTCTTCATTTTGTGCCCAGTTCCTTTTGTTTATTCTCAGAAAAAAGCTCTCCTTCTAAAATGATGACTATGCATCGCCTTTGTAAACTTCACCAAAACCGCGTTCTAAGCCATGTTCAATTTGGCCGAACCTTTTATCTGGACATTTATTTTTGTAAATAGTGTCAGGAGGGCCGAAAGCTAATAGTGGAGGAATTTTCATTCAATTAAACCAACCCATAAAGAACCCCTGAGGCCCACTGGTTGCGTAAAACAGCGGTTTGGGTTAGACCTTGTGTAAATATGCCCCAAATGTCCAAAGAAAGGATCACTAAGCGGTAGCGAGGCTTATAACTCGCATGCCTCGTCATTAATCAAATTGCACAAGAATTGTTAATTGTTAACCATTTTAAAATCGTGTCTAGGAAAGTATTGTTCTCTTCGTTCTCAGACAATCGATTAAATTTTCTGCAACAATTCTTTTAATGCACATTCAATAAATTCAATTTTCTATGGCGACGGTGGAAACCTGTCTAAATATTTGATTCAAAGAATATATCTAAAGGCAAAATTAGAACCTTGACTGATATCATTAAAAAAATTTTAGAAAATTGGGATGTGTGCGCACCAAGAAACGACTCAAAACATTTACAGAGGTTTTCACCGTCGCTATTGAAAATTGAATCAATTGAATGTGATTTACACAAACTTTGAAAAGAAATCAATCGGATGGGAAGGCATTTTTGGAGTCATTTTTGTGGTTAGTCTTTCCTACAACTTTAGGTAAGTCCGAAGAAAACCAAAAACTTGCATGCAATCTCAGGCGCTGGTAAACGGTCGTAAAGGACGTTGGCCGTAGCATCTTCTTTTAATTGCTTTTATCCACTTTAAGATGCCATTTACTACCAGAAACGTCGTCACAAATGACAAAATACGACGGTAAGGGAACAATCCATAGCCATATAACAATGGTCCTTTACCACAATGATCAGCAACAAGAACATCATTAACTCTTATATTACCCAGTTTGAGAGACTTATGCAAGATATTATTACGAGGCTAAAGCAGCTGCTTCACTTGTGTCGACATCTCCTCCTGCCTTGGAGAAGAAGCAAAGTTTGGTGATTGTGAACCTCAGCGTTTCTAACGCAAAGTTAAGGAGGATAAATTGAAAATGCACTCTAGTCTTGAAGACTACATAAGGAATAACGAAATGGGATAGCAATCAGTTTCATCTGCCACATGATCTATATAAAGAAGTCCGTGACAACGTTTTTTCTTTCTTTCAATCGAGACAACGAAAGTCAGATAAGAAATATAAAAAACAATCGAGGGTCAACATAGGTAATCTTTGTTTGCTTTCAAGATGATTTTCAGGCAATCCTTTTGCCTGACAATAATAACATTTGAACGCAAAACGAACCGTCCCGGGTGGGCTTGAACCACCAACCTTTCGGTTAACAGCCGAACGCGCTGACATCTCTTATCCCTTGTAAAAGTATCATCTGGATCAAGATAATTCAAAACTTATAGGGAGAAGGAAGCCGAAATAACTTCACGTGGGCCAATTTATGAATACGAATTTTGCAAAAAACACGACTATTGAAGCGCCGAGAGGCAGTGATTGTGGAAAAATACTCTGATCGAGAATTTAAGGTGAACGGGGAAGTTTGACGTCGTTATAGAGTTAAATTACGATAATTTGGTCTCCTCCACATTGCAATAATTTGGTGCACGGTTTGAATAAGGATTTGCATACGGCTATCTTCGTTATTGTTTTAAGAGTTTTATTGCTGGAAATTTTTGACCCGTTACTGGCATAAGGTCACATTTATTGGTGTTTTCCGATTACTGACGTTATCTCTATTTAAGACGTCCGGATTTTCAGATTTTTGTGCTGGTTGCACCTAAAATTTGTACTTATGCATTTGCTACTATTTAAAGTCATGCAAGCATCCGGTTCAAGATTCAGATTTCACTAATTTAAACAAGTTGTGAACATAAATATTAGCGTCCATTCGCCTTTTTTGTTCTCCTATATTAATTTAGCGCTTGGTCAGAGAAATAAAACACCTACGATTTTTCTGGCGCTATTTTTCGGAACTGTTAATCAAATACATCCTTAATGATTTAAACATATATAACAAAAAGCCCCATTTGACCGTTAGATGGTTTTTAAAAAAAACATTTTGTTTGTTGATCTACGTCATAGTCGAACGCACCATCTTGGTCTTATCCAAACCACGCTTTGTCAACTGAGTTAATGAATAAGTCAGTTAGTACCAAAAATAACTGTACAATTCTTTTACGTTTTATTCCTCTCAGATGTTCTCAGTAAAACTGATCTGTTACGATAAAAGAAAATGATGATGAGCATGGTAGATAAAAGGGAGGTGGGTACACCCTATACTGGAGAGACTGAAGGCCGAGTGCTGACAATTGGCTTTCTTATTTTAAAGAAATGTTTGTGATAATTAATTAATTGAAGCCAAAAAAAAGACCGGACTGAGCTATTTTATAGGATTGGGGAATTAGCTCAAATGGTAGAGCGCCCGCTTTGCATGCGGAAGGTACCGGGATCGATACCCGGATTCTCCAGTTAAAACCGAATTCCTTTTGTCTCTTTTATCTTACGCTTACAGAAACTTGAAATTTCAAAAGAAAGGCAACTGTGCGTGTACCCTGGCTTATGATGTTAATCATAAAAATTACAATCTCCTCGATTGTGATTGGTCTAAAAAACTCCTATTTTCCATTAATTCACTTGCCAAGTTGTTATCGGACAGTTTGTTATCAGACAGTTCCATAAGGCAGTCACATTCAAAGTTATAGTTCAAACCAACCAATCACAATCAAAGCTGTAGTTTAAATCAACCAATTGCCACTCAAACCTCTGATGGTCAGCCAGGAGTGTGTAAGGCTTGATACGATCTCAAGGGTTCGTTTTACTCGAGGTGTTTGAGAAACTAAAATTTGATCAATTATACCGCTGTAGTCACACCAGTCACTTCGGATAATATGTCGGGATTCCTGACTGGGGATTCTTGCTGTTCCGCTTTATTAGAGCTAACTGATGATTGGCGCCAGGCTCTTTACAATAAAAAGGATGTAGCGGTGGTTGCTGTTGACCTATCCAAAGCGTTTGACACGATTTGCCATAATTTATTACTAGGAAAAATGAAAGGTTATGGCGTTCACGATTCTGCCATAAAGCTTATTCAGTCATATCTATCAGGCCGCTTTCAACAAGTAAAATGCAACGGGAAGGTGTCAGACTGGCTGCCTTTCCGCTGTGGAGTGTCGCAAGGGAGCCTTCTAGGTCCGCTTTTTTAGATATCTTTCTGAATGATATAAATTAATCAGCTGAATCTTCCTCCCTACGTCTATATGCTGATGAGACAATGCAATATTGATATAGTCCATGAAAGCCCCCTGCACACTTGAATCTACACTGAATCAAGAGATTAACCCTTTGGTTCACTGCGAATTACCTGCAAGTAAACGCTACCAAAACTCAGGCGATGACACTGGGGAAATCTCAGTAACCATACAATCTTTTTATTGGTGACAAATCCATCGAAATTTAACTAACTCTCAAGATTCTTGGCGTTACATTGGGTCGAGATTTGTCTTTCAAGCCCCACGTTGCAATTATGCTGAAAAGAGCGTATACTAAGATAGCCGCAATACAATACAATAAGATAGCTCTTTGTTACTTCAGACGTTATGATTTCTCCTTATAAAGCCTACGTGTTACCGCATTTAGAATACTGTTGCCCACTGCTTCTGGGCATATCTAAAGCCTTGAATAATAACATCGAACAAACCAATCATTGGGCGATCAAGACATTACTGACTTTTGCCAAGTAATGGCTGCTATGAACACGCTTGAGCAAAGACGTACACTACAATCGCTTACTCTATTTTTTTTTAAAAGATGTTTTACACTAGATGGCCCAAATTATATCTCCCAATTTTTTATACCTCAGTTTTTACAATTTACGAGGCAGTGGCTTAAATGTTGAGCAGCCTCCATATAACGGCCTTGTCATGCACAATTCCAATTTGTACATGATTGCCCACATGTGGAATCAGTTACCAGCTGTAACCAAATCCTCGACCACTTTAGCACAATTTCGTGCTCGCCCGAATAATGTTAATTTCACGGGATGCCAATGTATAAACTGTATATAATTTTACCTATTTTTACATTTTTACATACTCTAAGGCTTACGTAATATTTATACATATTTTTTAATGTTTGTATATGCATAACTCACATTTTATCTTGTTTTGTATTTTTAGTTTGTCAAGCGTTTTTAAAATGAGCCTCTGACTCAGAAGATTGTGAAAATACTTCCCACGTCTTCTACATTAAATAAACTATTCTAAACTATTGAGCAAAGCCGCCTGGCTGTTGATCAAAGCTCAGAAGAAGGACCATTTTACACTTAAATTCCACTCTTTTCTCGATTGTATACTGCTTGTTAGGACCTGATATCAATTCTACTCGATCCTGGTACCACTTTCAGTACGCGCTCAAAGTCTATCGGGATAGCAGAAAAAATTACGTTAGCACTGCGTGAACTATGGGATGGAGGTGCGCGGAAAAGCGTTAATACGGCGGTGACTGTCGCACCGACTTAATTACTTACTAACTTAGTCACTCACTCATTTATCCACCCACTCCCTTACTTACCTACCCACCCACCAACCCACTCACTCACTCACATACTTTCTTACTTATTTACTTAATTTTATTTGGTCCGTTAGCTCAGTCGGTAGAGCGTGGTGCTGATAACGCCAAGGTCGTGAGTTCGAACCTCACACGGACCAGAGAAAACAATATTTTTCTGAAATAAAACGATCTAAAAAGATTTCAGGACTCAATTGTTTCCCTCGTATCATTTTTACTATTTTTTTCATGCTCTATTTCCAGCAGATAAAAATCTTTTAAAATGCGTCGCTTTCCAGTGTCGGCACTCAACGCCTTTGGGAGATGGGTTAGTGTACATAGCTGGTTTGCACACACGTGCGCAGCTAATTCCTTATCTGTGGACGGTCTGACATCGTCGTTTTCTGACGACCTCTCCAACGCAATCAACATCTACTTCCCGGCGAAGAGTGTCAAACTACATCCGACTGACAAACCCTGGACGTCAGCCGAAATTAAATCATTAATCCTGGAGTGGCAGCGCGCATATCATTCTGGGTCTAACGATAGATGGCGACTCCTCAGGAATAAAGTGCGCATAGCAATCTGTAAGCGCAAGAAGGAATTCTTCGCCTGCAAGGTGATGAGTCTCATAACTTCAGACCCTAGAAGCTGGTGGAGCCTGGTGAGCAAGATTGCTGGCAAATCTTCTACCGATTCCGAGTTATGCTATCCTGACGAACATGGCAACATCATCTCAGGTAAAATCCTTGCAACTCGTCTGAACAGCTATTTCATATCTGTTACATCTGACATCCAACCACTTGACACCGCCGCCCTTCCTGCTTTCTTGCCATCGCCGGACCAACCACCAACTATTACCACCTCAGCTGTATGTCGTAAGCTACTTGGTCTTATTTCCTACAAAGCCTCAGGGCCGGATGGCATTCCTGCGCGCCTCCTCAAAAAATTTGCACCTGAGCTTGCTGAACCAGTAACTGTGATCTTCAATCGCTCAGTGTCATCTGGCTTGTTTCCAGAACGGTGGAAAGACTCTCACCTAACACCCGTCCCAAAGGTCAAACCAGTTACGGGTGACGGGGACTTGCGACTATTGCCTTGACTCCAGTGCTCTTTAAGGTGCTTGAAGATTTCTTTGTCGAGTGGCTGATAGATGACGTTAAACATCATATTGATCTTCAACAGTTTGGCAGCCTTAAAGATACTTCTACAACCTAGTGCCTATTGGACATGCTGCACAATTGGCTGTCGTCCCTTGACTGCCCTGGCAAGTTCCTCCGTGTGTTCTTTCTGGACTTTAGCAAAGCATTTTACCACATTGACCAACCATCTTGGTGACCAAGCTAATCAATCTAGGTGTTAGATGCTGGTTGATTAGTTGGATTTGTAGCTTCCTCAGTGGCCGCCGCCAGGTTGTTAAGCTCTTGGACTCCATCTCAGAGTGGATGCCCGTACATGCCGGTGTCCGCCAACGACCACTCCCCCCCCCGCTCGAGCCACTGGAAGTACGTCGATGACGTAACAATATCCGAGGTCTCCAGTTTGGCGGAGGTGTCATCTCTGCAAAACGACATCGACTGCATTTCGCAATGGGCCCAGCAGAACAACATGAATCTCAACCCTAAAAAATGTAAGATCATGACCATCTGTTCAATCAAAAACAAACCCGTTTCCCAAATGCTCTCTATCAATAATTTACCTCTAGAGGCAGTTTCATCTCACAAAGTTCTCGGTCTGACCCTATGTGACACCCTGAAGTGGAACGATAATACCAACGACATCATCTCCAAAGCGTCCAAGCGACTGCACATTCTTAGGGTCTTGAAGCGCGCTGGGGTCCCTCCAGCGGACCTTGTCACCATCTATAGCGCCTTGGTTCGCTCAGTCCTAGAATACTCTTCCGTTGTCTGGGCTACCTGCCTTCCTCGCTTCCTCATTGATCAGCTAGAAGCTATCCAGAAGAGGGCTCTGCGAATCGTATATCCTGACCCCCACTATCAACAGGCTCTTGCGCAAGCCAACATTACCAGTTTAGAGGATAGACGCGCCCACCTGTGTCTCAAAGTGTGGCACAATATCAAAAATAATCCGGCCTGCCAGCTGCACCATCTCCTCCCTCCCGAGCGATCCGAATGCCACTCTCACCATGTTAGGAACAGTAGCAGTTCTAGCCGTTTTCAGTATAGAACAAAACGCTTTGGTTCTAGTTTTTTCCCAGCAATGGCGAGAATCAACTAATCAATAGGAGTCTGGTTATTTTTATTATAGTATTTTATCCATATCCGAATTGTAAATAATTTATAAATAGCCTGTAATCCCAGTCGCTTCGAAACAAATGTAACTTTATTTCTTGTATCATGTAGGCACATTGTAATTCATAGTTTTTTATGCCATCGTGTGTATTTTAATAAACCATTATTATTATCATTAGTTCAATAACGTTCCACAACGAGGATACTCGCTATAATCTGTGGCAGGGATGAACCACCAAGTTCTATTAAGCTTGATTTAGCCAAAATATGCCTTTTTCCAAGCACAATTTCATACCCTCGTCAGTACTTTTTTTAGACCTAAAAATTGGTGAAAGTCCCTTGAAACATCAACTTGAATGACTCATTTTCGGTATTTCTCTTTCTCCTGCATTTGGACTTAAACAGACAAAGTCGCTGAGACGTTCTTGTGATTCCCTACAAAATCATTTTAGTACACTTACTGTAATGGACAAAATCCATAGCCATTTTCGGTCCAAAATTGGCTGAGGAGCCAAACCTTTTGAGGCGGAACACAATCTCGAGCCCAGGGTCATTTTGGCTCCTTGTCAGCGGTATGGTCGTCAACTAATGACCTCTAGGAGAATAGATTAATTCAATTTCTTTGATTGGTTGGTAGGAAAACAATAGACTCCACAAAGAAAGTATGATTTACGGAAGGAGTCGATCAGGCCAGAAGTAGAGTATTAACAACCCCAAGTTTGAATTGCTTTTTACTGTTGTTACCGTTGTTTGTTTGTTTTTTTTTTTGGAAAAGTTTTGAGTGAAAGTGTAAGTGAAAGTTTTCACATGTAAAGTGCCTGTCGATGGGTGAGAAAACATCCAACCAAAGCCACTGCATGCTGCAATGGCGGGAAGGTGTTCTTCATGCAACGATGGATTGCTATCGTTGTTGTCAAAGACTTAAAAGTAGATGGAAACCATTATTTTAATTTGTTTGAAGTAAAATGCAGAAAAGAAGACATTGTAGAGGCCGTGAAAGCGCACAGAAATGTAAATATGAAAGAGTACGTCATCGGAATGATAAATAAAAGGAAGTTGGACATGCTTGCTACAATCTTTTATTCAGCATCAAATTCGAGAAGTTTTCATAATATGTAAAGGAAATTGCGAAGAAAAAGGTTCCGTTCTTGAATAAACAGAAACGAGGTCTGTCACCATCCAAAGCTCAGTAAGTAGAGTGCTGCACCGGTATCGCAGAGGTCATGGGTTCAAATCAGTTATTTATCGCTTCACGGGTTTATATGGAACCAACATATTATCTAGCTCCTAGTTGGCTTGTTAGCTCAGTTGGTAAAGTGCTGCACCGGTATCGCATAGGTCAAGGGTTCAAATCCTGTACAGGTCTGATTTTTTTTTTTTTCACGCCTTGTTTTCATTACTGCTCAAGTAGTGAACACTACTTGAGCAGTAATTTGACTTTTTCCTACCAAAAGAATAAGTTTTTTCAGGTACACGGCCAAAATCGACCTGTTGCAAATCTTCCAGTTGTCAGTTTTCGTTTTTAGCCGTGAGAAATGGCATTAAGAAAGCTATAAAGCACGTAACTTTCGTCTTTTCTTTTCGTATTTTGGTTTTCTTCCGCTTCTAAGAAATTTGGACTTTCATTTCATGCAAGTGATACGAAATTTTCCGTGTTTTTGCAGCCACAATCAGAGAAAATTTCTGTTCGACAAAAGACGGTGGATTGAGAATGGTGAAGGCTTTGCCATTCATTCATCAACATCACAGTGTTGCGAAAGGTGAGGTCGTGGTCACCAGCTGATTGGCGATATCGAACACAGGTGGAAAAATTAACGTATTTTTTCACGTGTGTTGCTATGGTTTTTCTCAGGGCTAGAAATCTTTGTATAACACCGCAGTTACATATTCCACCACAATCTTAACCTCCTTTGTCGTATTTGTAAAGGCTAAATATACCCAGA